CTAGTCTGGGCCTTCGTGAAGAAGTGTGCTAGCTGTAACTCAGAAGGCACATACTGAAGAGCAACAACATGATCCTGCACAGCAGCGCGCACATAAGAAGCATCAACACCAATATGCTTGGTAAGCTCATGCTTCACGGGATCCCGTGCAATACTGATAGCGCATGTACTGTCTGACAAGTGGTGGTAGGTGTAGTAACAGAAACACCAAAATCCTCTAGTAACCATCATAACCAAGTCACCTCTGCCGTCAGAAGAGATATAGCTCGCAACTCAGCCTCTGCACTCGAACGGGAAACTGCAGTCTGTTTCTTCGTCTTCCAGGCAATGAGAGAACCACCAAGAAAAACACAGTAAGCAGAAAGTGAACGGCGATCCGTAGGATCACTAGCCCACGTAGCATCCGAATAGGCCTGTAGCTGTAACGAGCTAGAGCGAGGAAAGCAGAGACGGTGAGAGATCGTGCCACGAAGATATTGTAGAACACGAAGAAGGTGACTATAGTGTACCGAAGTGGGAGAAGAAACAAACTGACTCAAGATATGGACAGGATAGGAGATATCCGGACGAGTGACGGCAAGATAGACAAGACTCCCAACAAGATGACGATAACGTGTCGGATCAGACAAAGGCTCACCATCAGAAGCGCGAAGGTGAACATTTAGCTCCATAGGAGTCTCAACAATGCGCTCATCACTAAGAGTTGCACGAGTAAGAAGATCCTGGATATACTTTTCTTGGGAAATAAAAAAGGCATCAGAGGTGGAGGAAACCTCAATCCCAAGAAAGTAACGAAGAGGACCAAGATCGGACATAAGAAACTGCTCACTGAGACGGGCCTTGACAAAGGCAATGTACTCAGGGTCATCGCCAGTGATGATCATGTCATCAACATACAGAAGAAGAGTCCGACCACGAGCTGAAAGATGAACAAACCACGCCAGATCATGAGCACTCGCTGAAAAACCAGCGGCGGTCACCACAAAGGCAAAACGCTCAAACCAGGCACGAGGGGCTTGCTTAAGGCCATAAAGAGAGCGACGAAGACGGCATACCATGCCATCAGGAACAGAATACCCGGGTGGTGGCTGCATATAAACCACCTCACGCAACTCACCATTAAGAAAGGCATTCTTAACATCAAGTTGAGAAACAGACCAATGGCGAATAGAGGCCACAACGAGACGTGTGTGAATAGTGGTTATATGGGCTACAGGAGCAAAAGTCTCATCGTAATCACGACCATGCTCCTGCTGAAAGCCACGAGCCACAAGACGAGCTTTGTAACGCTCAAGAGAACCATCGGAGCGAGTCGTAACTTTGTAGACCCACTTACAAGTGATGGGACGAACACTGGAAGGAAGAGAAACAAGATCCCACGTGCCGGTGCGCTCTAGAGCAGCAAGCTCCGCTGCCATCGCAAACTGCCATTCAGGATGAACAATAGCATCGCGATAAGAGGTAGGCTCAAGTACCGCCGAAAGACCATATCGACTAGGAGATTAGCGGTCAAGGGGAGGGCGAGGCCGAGCTCGATGACCATAAGTCGGCTGGGATGAGGAGGACGACGCACCAGAAGTAGATGCCATGTCAGTGGGTTTATCCACAACACGTGGACGACGAGTATAATGGAAAGGAAAGGAGGGAAGAGGTGGAATCACTAGAGGTGGAGACGGGGAATGTATCAATGATGAAGGTGGACAAGGGGAAGGTATTGGTGATGAAGGTGGAGAAGGAGAAGGTATCGGTGATGAAGGTGGAGAGTCATGCGATGAGGGAGGAGAGGAAACCGTAGGAGAGGACGGCGTCAGATCTGCAACAGCAGGACGAGGAATAGGAATACTGGGCACAGAGGGAGGTATTTCAGGAAAAGTGAGAAAAGAGATATCCTCTACTGAAAAAGTCGAGGAGGATGGTCGCGGGTAGAATGGACGAGACTCATCAAAAGTCACGTCCCGAGAAATACGCATCCGACGACCAACTGGATCCCAACAGCGATAACCCTTATGCTCATCACTGTAGCCTAGAAAAAAACACTCGACAGACTGAGCGGTCAGTTTGGTGTGTTCTCGTGGGGCCAGGAGAACATAGCAAACACAACCAAACAACCTAAGCGCCGAATAATCAGGAGAATGATCAAAAAGATGCTCAAAAGGAATACCACCCTGCAGAGCAGATGAAGGTTGAATGTTTATGAGATATGTGGCAGTAGAGACAGCCTCAGCCCAAAAATGAGGCGGAAGAGAGGCGGCAATCATCATCGCACGAGCTGTCTCAAGAAGGTGACGATGTTTGCGCTCAGCCATGCCATTTTGAGCGTGAGCACCAGGACAAGAGAAATGAGCAATAGTACCTTGCTCGGCAAGAAAACCATGCAACATTTTAGAGATATACTCACCAGCAGAATCAGCACGGAACACACGGATAGGTGTAGAGAACTGAGTGTGAACCATGGCAGCAAAACGCTTATAAATAGAGAGAACCTCACTACGAAAAGACATAAAGTAAAGCCAAGTGTAGCGAGAGAAATCATCTATAAAAATAATATAGTATCGATGACCCCCTTTGGAAGCCAAGGGAGCCGGGCCCCATACATCTGAATGTACTAAATCAAAAGGGTGCTGCGACACCGACTCACTAATAGGATAAGGTAACTAAATCTGTTTACCCAACCTACAACCCTAATCTCCTGAGACAGGCCCCAGAAGACCACGACGAACTAAAGATGACAGTCGAGAACCACAAAGGTGACAAGTCGATGATGCCACTGCTGGAAGGAGTTGGTAGCTGAAACGACGAAAGCAGATGGACTGGTGGGTGTGGTGGCAGCGGAAGGAACATGAAGCCAGTCTAACTCCCAAAGTCCCTGAGAATCACGGCGGCGAGGGCCAGCTCCAACCAGAGCCTTTGTGTGATGATCCTGGATTGTGCAAGAATCAACGTCAAGAATGACAAGACAACCATAATCAGTAAGCCTCGCGGAGGGGGGGGAGGGTGAACGGCCGGCCGCCG